TTCATGGTCGTTTTTTACATATCACTGGTTGGTTGTGCTGATGTTCCCAAGCCCTCAAAATGCGGAATGCATATCGATGCTAACATCAGTCGTGAAGATATACATGTTGATCCGAATTACAAACCAAGTTCCAATACCGACGGGGATCACGATTGTCACAGAGGATCTGGACATGCAGGCTTTTTCGGAACTGTCGGCTCTGATTGCGACTCCCCTCTCACCCTGGTAAACGCAACAGTCGCGTGGATTCAAGACAACCTCGCAGACTCGATCGACTTTGTTATTTGGACAGGCGATGCGGCACGCCACGACAGTGATGAAAAAGTACCACGTACGGAGAAAGAGGTTCTCCAGTTGAATCAGTTGTTGGCCAGCAAATTCCATGACATCGTTTCTACATCAAATGGGAAGAAAAAGGAAATGCGAATTCCATTCGTCCTTACAATCGGGAATAATGATGTAATGCCCCACAATATCTTGAAGAAGGGACCTAATACCTGGACGAAGAACTTTGCCAGTATCTGGGATCCTTTTATTCCTGAGGAACAGCACCACTCATTTGTTCACGGTGGCTGGTTTTATGTAGAAGTCATTCCCCACCGATTGGCTGTTTTCAGTCTTAATACGATGTACTTCTTCAGCTCAAATAGTGCTGTTGACGGATGTGCGAGTGAAGACGAACCCGGATATGAACATATGGAGTGGTTGCGGGTCCAGCTCCAGTTCATCAGGAAAAGGGACATGAAAGCAATTCTAATTGGACACGTTCCCCCGGCCAGGACAGATTCCAAGGAGAACTGGGATGAGACATGCTGGCAAAAATATACGCTCTGGCTACAGCAGTACCGTGATATAATCGTTGGGAGCATGTTTGGACATATGAATATCGATCATTTTATGCTCCAGGACACGAAAGATATTAAGATCGGTGATGGGGGAGCCAAATCTCTGCTCAGGCTGGCGAAGCGGGACAGCAGTGACGATCAGACGGTGTCCATACAATCACGCATGAATTATTTAACAAGACTGAGGGATTCTTGGTCACGGTTGCCAGCTCCGCCCGATACATCATCCGCCTGTTCAGAGGGTGGTGTCGATAGTAAACTTAACCACAAATCTCATCTTAGTTTAGTTTGGGGTTTGAAACCCCAAGGCAAGAAGAAGGAGATGAGAAAATATCTGAAGGCCATTGGTGGGCCTTGGGCGGAAAGATACAGCATATCAGGCAGGTTTCACCCAGCGTGATTCCAGACTACTATCCGAC